CGGGTTACAACAAAAAGCATATAAAACCACTCGGTGTATTACTATGACCACAACGCAGTGTTAGTGATCCTCTGAGGTCAGTGTACTTGCATCGTTATTATCACCGCCGTTGTCATCACCGTAGACGTCTACCTCAGCAGGGACGCAACCTTCTGGCATTTTTCTCAGTCTGTCGTGTCTGTCCTTGTATGATCGTTTGCCGTCTAAGGTTTTTAGGGTATATCTATCTCCTTCCAAAATCTCTGCTATTACGAATGGACCCCTGAATTTCGGATCTAACTTCGTCTGGTTTCTTTCCTCGTTCTTGCGCAACACGAAGTCGCCAAGGTTGAACCTAACTATTTTAGCTTTGTTTTCGTCGAACCTATCCTTATCGTATTTGGCGCTTGCTTCTATATTCTTTATCGCCTGCTGTCTTACATGGGAGATATTTACTTCTCTTTCCTCGATATTGTCGGGTAGGGATAAGCCGTAGGGTCTCGCTGTTTTACCGATTAGTAGTTCCAACGGGCTTGACTTAGTCACGCGGTTGGTGGTACAATTTAAGGCCAGTTGTATTTCCCCGATCGCGTCTTGCCAGGACCGCTCGGTGGTTTCTATTGTTGTGAACATGTTTTTTAGCGTACTCATAGTACGCTCTACCTATCCGTTGGCCCTACTAGCTCCGGTCGCAATTAAATGGAGTTTAATATGTTTATCTTGACAAAAGTCTCGAAATTCTTTGCCCGTAAAACATCTTCCCTGCTCCGCTATTATCCGGCAGGGACTGCCGAACAAAAATATAGCGGACTTAAGCGCTTTAATGGTGTTAATGGAGTCTATCTTACGGGTATGGTGCAAGTATACGAACTTAGTGAAGGCATCGACCAACACAATGACCGCGTGTGGCGAGCCACGGGACAGAAACCGTTGGAATGTTTACTGTAGCGTGTCGCCACGAATATTTCTTTTAAGGAGAGCCATAGAATCACTCCACACCTCTGTCAGGCAAAGCGTTCATCCCGTGACCGCGACTACGTTCGGCGACTGACTGCCTATCCGTTGGCCCTACTAGCTCCGGTCGCAATTAAATGGAGTTTAATATGTTTATCTTGACAAAAGTCTCGAAATTCTTTGCCCGTAAAACATCTTCCCTGATCCGCTATTATCCGGCAGGGACTGCCGAACAAAAATATAGCGGACTTAATTTATACATTTTATATATTATTATTATTTATTTATTATTGCTTAGTCCGTGCCTTTCGGCTTTGGACGAACTTTCGGTTTTACGTCTCTTATGTCTATTTCTCTTCTTATATGTCTACCTCCCCTCTTTTCCACTCTATTCTATTCCACTACCTTACTTATTCTATCTCTAAAAACTAAAACTAGAAACTACAAATTAGCAACTAATGATTAAAAACTATTGCAACTTTGGTCTTTAGCCTCCTTGCTGTACATCCTTCCTGTCGTTTGCCCTTCTCTTCTCTATTATTGCTTTCAGTTCTGTTAAACCTTCTCCAGTCTCATTTAGCGTTTTCCTATGTCCTTTGGTCCTCCCGTTATTTCACATTCTTCTATTACATGTCTCAGGTCTTCTTTCCTTCTACATAGACTGCATCTTTTTTCTCCCTCTTTTTCCAGTATTCCCTTGCTTTGGTCTCGTTTCCACATCTGAATCTTGCCAGTATTCTTCTGTTCTTCCACTTCATCCTTCCTTCCAAGTACTTTGGTAATTTTTCTTTGGCTATATTTCTGTAGTGTATATTATACTTGGATTCCCTTATCATTTTCCCCCTCTCTTCTGCGTCTTTCTTTCTTCTTTCTTCTATAATTTGATCTGCTGTCATCCTTTCTTGTTCCTCTCCTGCTTCTATCTGTGTCCTTCCCTTTCTCACCTCTTCCAGTCCCTTCTTTCTCTTTCTTGCCCTTTTCCCTTCATGACCATTTCCCCAGTTTCTCTCTTTTTCCTTTATACACTCCTTTACTTTATAATTTATAATTCCTTTTTTGATTCTAGGGCTTTCTCTTCATACCTTGCTGCTCTTTTTAATGCTTTTTCTTTTATTTCTATTATCTTGCATTCCTCTAATATATAATTTGGTGTTGGCATATCTAAGCCTAATATCCATTTCACATATCTTCTTTGTACTCTATCCAGTCCTTCTTCCATGTTCCAGCTCCATACCTCTGCTCCAAACAGCGCCACGCTCTCTACCAGTGCTCCAAACATCTTCATTCTCCTTTTGTAGTCCTGTTTGAATATTCTTTCTCCCACACTCCATGTTTTCTTCATTGCTATTGCTGCTCTCTTTTTCCTGTCTTGTATGTGCTTCTCATCACTGCCGTTTTTCTGTAGTATGTACCCTAGGTATCTTATCTCGTCCACTTCTTCTAATTCTTGTTCTCCCCATTTCCATTTTCTTTGTCTCCTTTTGTTCCTTCTTTTTTCAAAGACTACTATTTTGATCTTTTCCGTGCTCAGTTCTAATTCGACTTCCTTTAAAAGTTGTTTGAACTTCTTTAACATTTCTTTTAGCTCCTCTTCCCTATCCGCCATCAGCACAATATCGTCTGCATATGTTAGTGACCATACCTTTCTTTCTCCTAGCAGTTCTTCTTCCAGTCCTGCCACGTATATATTTGTGGCGGCACTCAACAGCAAATACCACCATTCGACACTAACTAGTAGGCAGCGCAGTGGTTAGCGCCTTAGGTTACGAACGTTCGGGGCCCGGTTCAAATCCCGGCGACCGATTTTTCTTCTACGCATCAAAAACGTAAGAAAATCAGTAGTACCCCATCAGCAGCGACATCTATGGCCAGCATCCTACAATTATCACGGACAACACTTACACCTCAAATTGGTGACCCCGACGTGATCGACAGCGAAAAAGAGGTGTGTGTGACCGTGATAGCGCTACCCGAGACTTCGATCATCGCGAATCTAAGACTGTGGCAATCTGGATCTACCGCTACGACGCACGCGGAACGGCTCTCCTCTTCAGCAAAACTCGACGCCTCACCGCCAACCCACACAAGCAGGTAACTAGATACGAGACGATGACCAAGTCAGAAGTGATGTAGCCATTGCAAAGTTCATGGGCATCACCACCAGCACGTCATACTAAAAAGAGGAACAGAGGCCTACGACCGTACGCGGAACGCTCCGCATCGTACCGACAGCTATCCACCGCCACATCGAGAACAACGCGCAACATCTACACGGGCTTGACAGCAATCGGCTGACGCTTTGCCACGCAAAGAAGAAACGTTATCACTGGTAAGAGGGGGTACTGTGGCGGCACTCAACAGTAAATACCACCATTCGACACTAACTAGTGTCGGACGACGGCGCGCAGTGATTAGCGCCTTAGGTTACGAATGTTCGGGGCCCGGGTTCGAATCCCGGCAACCGGAGTCCGATTTTTCTTCTACGCATCAAAAATGGAAGAAAAACAGCAGTACCCCCATCAGTGACATTCTACAGCCAGCAGCTACAAGTATCACGGCCATCACCTATTATACGCCTCAGCTGTATCCATTAGCGTTACTCCTCTGTAGCTCTTCGCTACTCTCTTGTCCCCCTTCTTGTATATCGGACATATTACTTCCTTTTTCCAATCTTCTGGCATCCCCTCCCCATTGCATATTTTCCTTAATAACTCCCATAACGCCTCCCCCATTTCCTTCGGTGCATGCTTCATTTTCTAACCCGTTTTCCCCCGTTGCTTTCTTTTTCTTCAAATTTCTTAGCTGGTATATCGCCTCTTCCTTCTCTATATTATCTTCTCGATCCTCCATTATTTTCTCTTCCTCTCCATGCCTCCCCCCCGTTTTTCTGCCCTCTTTGTGCTCTGTCCCTTCTAAAATTTCCATAAAGTGATTTCTCTACTCTTCTTCGCTTATATCCTCATCTATACCTTCTCTACTTCTTCTGTATCTATTTATGTATTTCCACGCTTCTTGTTCTGTTTTTATCTTCTTTATTTTCTCCATTTCTTCTTCTTCGTGTCTTTCCTTTCTTTGTTTGCTCCACTGTTTGAATGCCTTTTTTTCCTCTATGAGCGCTTCTCTGCTGCATTTTCCTTTCATAAACTTTGTCATCTTCCTTCTCATCTCTCTTTTCCTTTCTTTCCACTCCTTGTCGCACCACGCTTTCTCTCCCATGCCCCATTTCCTTATCTTCACTTTCTTCTTTGGCACTGCTTCGTTTATCTTCTTTTTGATTTCTGACTACATTTCCTCTACTGTTCTTCCATTACAGATCCAGTCTTTACATTCCTCCAAGTATTTTTCCACACTTTCGTTTGTCCATTCCCTTTTCTCCTTCTCTTCTTCTTCTTTTTATTCATTTGCTTGCAGTTCCGGCCCCCCTATTTCTATTTCTAACGGCATGTGGTCTGACTCTGCCAATTCATCATGCCAATTATCTCTTCTGTCGCCTCCTGGTTGTCAATCACATAATCTATCACAGAGTTTCCTCTTTTCCCAATATATGTCCACTCCTCTCCTTCTTTATCTCTTCCATTGACTATCATCCAGGCCTCTTTCTTCCAGGTACTTTCGCAGAGTTCTTCCTTCCATGTGTATTGTCTTGTCCTTTGATTGCTTGCTTTTTTCTTTCCTCAGATCCTCGTTTATCGACCCTCCCCCTTCTCCCGTTCTTGCATTCCAGTCTCCGCTGATGATCATCACTTCCTCTTCTCTTCCTTCTACTCTTTCTTCTATTTCTTTCCTTGTCTCTTTTGTGTCTTGATTATAAACTACTATTACCCTATATGTCTTATCATTGTATACTATTTTTCTTTCCACTATACTATCACTTATTTCTTTGTATTCTATTTCTCTCAGTTCCTTATTTATACCCGTTATTATTCTCCCCTTTACTCTTCCTTTTTTCCTTACTCTCATTGCTGCTCTGCATTTCCAGTTGAATTCTTTGGGTAGTCTATATTTTAGTTTTTCCCAATTGTCTTCCTCTATCCATGTTTCCGTGAATCCGATCACGTCGAATGTCTTCAAATATTCCCTCACCTTCTTGTCCTTACTTATTAACCTTGCTACATTCCAGAAGCACATTTTCATCGCCTTTGTAGTCTCCCCCCTTTTTCCACTTTTTTCATTTTTCTTCCCCTCTCTTTCTTTCTTCCTTCAGCCTCTCTTCATTTTCGTTCCACCTGTACCATCTGTTTTCTATCTTTAGCTTCTTATATCCAATCCTTACATATTCGCCCTTTTCCCTTCTTACTCTGGCTATTCTTCTTATTTGTTGCTGTACCTCTCTTCCTTTTCTTGTCAGATCGTCATCTATGTATATTCCCGTTTCCAATTTGCTTTTCTCCTTCATTACCCTTATTTTTTCCTCCATTGATTTCATCATCGCTACTATTATTGTGTTTTTGTTCCCCACCCTTATCATGTGTTCTTTCTACTTCTGCCCCTATTTTCATTTTTTCCCTTATGAACTCCTTTACTGTCCCTTCATTGCTTTCTTCGTTCCAGTTTACTCCTTTGATTACTATGTGCCTTCTTCTTTTCTCTCTCTCTGCTCTGTCCCTCTCCTCCTTGATTCTTTTAATTCTGCCCAATAGGTCCTTCTTTTCCCTTTCCCGCTCTTCTCTCTCTCTCTCTCTCTCTCTCTCACTTCTTCTCCTTTCCTCTTTCATTTCCCTCTTCATCTCCTCCACTTGTTTTTCGAATATCCGTTTTATTTCCTTTATCGTTGCCTCGTTTTTTTCATCATTACTTCCATTTCTCTCTACCTGGTTGATGTCTCTTTTTCTGACAAGCTGTATTTATCCAATGTGTTTTTGAAATCTGCCTTATCTCCCGCTTTACTCGCGTTCCTTGGTCTTCCTCTGTTTGACGCCATCTGTCGTTTTCCTACCTTACTTTATTTGCCGCGCTTTCGACTTCCTAACCTCTTCTCCTCTAGTTTTTCTAATTTGTATCTCTCTCTCGTTCCTGACTTCTTTTCGCTTTTCTTTCACTTTCTCCTCGTATGCTCACCCTTTATTTTCCCTTCTTCGTTCCTTCACATTTCCCTTTTTCCACAGGGTCCGCGTGTTACCCTTGCCCCGAAACAAACCGAAAGTCCTACATTTTATATAAACACCTTATACACGATGCCTAAAAGATCCTCAGAGGACATGTTCGTAGTGATGATTACATGATAGTAATGATGATGAATGACATCAATGAATATTTGGACGGGGTCGGCAAAGCAGACCAAAGCAGACAAACATACTATTTTATGCGAAAGTCCTAGAAATGATAGCAAAAATTATTTTTTTTGGGCTTGAGAATATCAACCATAAATTCTTACTTATTAATATAACGCAAACCAGGAGAAACAGAATAAAAACAAAATAACGCATTTGCAATACGAACGTCGCTTGCTAAATCAATTAGTTGGAGATTTTCGTGACATTATCCCGAGAATACTTCATGAACTTCTGGAATGTTCCAACCAGAAAATTAAAGATGGAAGAAAAGAATCAAGATACTACTGTGCTACTTATTCAGCTAAACTGGTCTTGCATATAGGCGACTGCTTCGAAAGATACTATCATATCCTGCAAGAATATAAAATATGTCATAAATAAACATAGCAAAACTAAATATGTTTTCTTGGATCTTGACAAAAAATTTTGTTGTATTTGAATAAAGTTTTAGTTTTTAGGGTTTAGTTTTTAGGCAAAAAACAATCTAAGGAATTTTGAGATATATCGATACTTCATAGACATGGTGAAACTTCAACGTGATGTTTCTGTCGTTAGCCATTTTCAACATGTTTCGAACATAAATTTACGCGATTGATTGTTACGAAAAATTCACTAGACAAACACTAAATAAATAAACACACTGTCACCATGTATTCAGACACTTACCTTTCGTGTCATTCATTTCGTGTATATAACAATAAATCATAGTTGTATGATCATTTGCACTGAGCGCAATATTCACTGTTCGCTTGCTAAACAGCTCAGCATGCATAGCGGACTTTTAATACACTCAATCTCGCGTTTCAATAAGTTTCCATAGATGATCAACTGCGCACATCCATTGGCTCCGAATTCTGTACGCTTCCAAAACACCTATAAATATATCAAAACGAAGCATAAAGTAGCGGGAGGAAGTACTGATATACTTGCTAATTTAAATTCAAAAGTTCGGCACGAAGACCGATTTACACAAATCGTGTAATATGTACAATACACTCTTATTATAAGTAAAAAATACATGCTTTCTGAGACTAGACTTTGTATTTTCATTTCTTATTATTACAAATATAGTTATATTGTATAATACATAATATAATTATTATGCATATACTATGGTGTAGAGTAATACTTGACTCCTGTTTCTCGAGGTTTTGATACAAATCTAAAAACAGCGTGATTAAAAATGGATGGAGCGGGAAAGATAAAGAGATTAGACAAAATTGTAGTGAATAGA